AATATTTATTAAAAGTAATCTAAAATTTTATGTTTTCTTAAAATGAAATGATGTCTTTTTATTATTTATTAAAACTTAATTAAAATATAGATTAAAATATTAATTATTATCATTTTAAAAATTAAATATTACATTAATTTAAATGTAAGTTTATTTAATATTATTTGAAAATTTTATTATCATTTAATATTATATAAATTAAATTATTATTATTATTATTGTAGATGTTCAACATTTTAGAATTACATATATTATTTACTATTTTTACATTATTGATGCGATGCCCTCAACATTTTTGGATGGTAGAAAGAAAAATAAATATTATACTAAACAAACATTTCAATATTTATACAAAAGTTTTGTGATGACATTTATAAATTGAAGTTTCGTGGTTTGAATGCTAAAATTTATAAGTTAAATTGGTATTGATATACCTCTTCGTTGATATAAATATGAGTAAACGATTGTAAATTTACCTAAAAATATTGATGTAAAAAATGTTACTAGATATAAAAAATGCACCTATACATATATATATATTTAGAAAATAATATTATAAGTTGTAAATCTTTTCACTTTCTTTACTTTCCATTAATATTTCTGTAAGAGAAGGCAACAAAATTCTTCATAGGATGATGTATTATTTATCAAAATCTCTATATAAATTTTATGTTCGCTCATCATTAATCATTATTAATAACCCTCTTTTTTTTAATTTCTTAAAACTGTCATATCTTCCCACACTAATTACATTTAGATGTTGAAGTTGAAGAAGGATTAACTTTAAACACATTTTTGTTAAATGTCAACGTGTTATAAAGCAGATCCACTCTTTATGTAATAAGAAATTACGATAACCTTCCAACAGGACTTATAAAAATCTTGAATCATGTAGAAGTACAGCAACAAATCACAAATTGTTGTTCGTTTAATACTATTTGCCAGAGGGTAGAACAAGGCTTGGAATGTTGTTCGATGACTTTTTAATGACGGATATTGTGTACAGGAGGCGCCACACATCCAATTCTTACTTATTATTTTGAATTAGAAACAACTAAGCTAAAGATTAATTTTTTATTACGTATAATTCTCTCATATCACGCTTTTTCCTATATAGAAAGAGGTGACGTTTTCCCAAACAGCATTCGCTTATATTATACGATCATTACAATGCGCAACAATAGAAAATAAACTGTTACATCATACAAAATTACATTACTATAGATTAAAAAAAAAGGGGTGCAATTTTGCATCTAACTTATCGTTTACTCTTTTTAGATNTTCCGGAAAAGTGAAGCCGACCAAGCTGGAGAGAGGCGAGATCCTTCTCTGCTGTCTCTCAACCAATATTTGCATTCGGGCCATATCTTTGGCCTGCGACAGAGCTATCCTGACTTCAGACTGAAGTCTAGAATGATACAGGACGATATCTTCCTTCATTAAGGTCTTCCTATCCTTTTTATTGTCGATCTGGCTCTTTAAGAGCTTCAGGCGCCGATTGAAGAAAATCGAGGGCCTCTGCCAGTAGGGATATGACTGAGCGGAGCGACATCCGGACAGATTACTAAAGTTTTGAGTTTCGACGGGTATTCCATATCGGCTCATGGCAGGATACTGTTTTAGATTTTGTGAATTCCTGAACACTTTAGTGGTTTCTGTTTCCTTATCACAGGTGTCGTTAACAAAACAGATCTGTAAATTGACTCCATCGGCCATTTTCTTGCCATTGGTTTCGTACGTGATGTTGACGTCTTCGTTATCAGAATCCATAGCTGCTAATTTTTTTCTGATCTTCTCCCTATCGTTCCTTCTCTGTTCTTGATGAAACAAATCGTTGTCTCCATTCGATGCCATAGTTCTGGCCAAATGATCATTTTTTACTTCTTTGTCTCTCATTGGGCCGATTCTTTGACTTTTATCCAGTAAACAGTTGTTAACAGCCCTAAACATCGATTCTATCCCGTTAAGAATAAAATCCAACACAACTCCGACATTACAAATAACTCGACGTCACATTGACGTCAAGAATGCTTCCTTCGTTTCGTGTTTGGTGTCGCGCTAGTAAGTACTTCATCGATTTTAATCTGCATTTTACATAAAATATTTTGATATTTTTTAGTCTTTCAATACCGTTTGTTCAATCATACTTTAATTATGCAAAAATTAATACAATATTATTTCGTTTCTAAAAGTATTTTACTTTAATAATAATTGATTTAACTTATTCGCGCCTCAACTAAGTGGCATCTGGTGACAGATTCTTGGACTTGAGAAAGTAGGTCGCGAGCAGACCCGAAGTAGGCGTTTGAGAGGATCCATTAGTCTTCGTTTATACGTCAAAAATGAACAAAAGTATATTTTTCTGGCGTTAAGCAAGCAAACAACGATGTAAAACAAAAATTTACTTAGGTCGAACATAAGAGTCATCTTGAGAAAAGTTTGCAATAATGTAAGGCTGTAAAAATAAGCATAAAATATTCTGCTTACCCGCTTAAAATAAGTGAAACTACAAATAAAGATCATGACCATAACAACAGTATAAAAACAAGCCGTGCATGAATCAGTTTTGTTATGCATAAAAATAGCGATTACAATACAATTATTTGTATTTGCTTGATTTATATTGTATTATTCAAATTTAAAGTAAGTTTAGTTTAACGTTTAGTAAGTTAGAGAGTTACAGAAAGAAATGAAACAATCCTCTCTACGTGACAGTATATAGGAAAAAGGACAGAAAGGAAAAGCAAAACAAATGAAGACGAAACAACCATCAGCCAGATAATCTCCGCAAAGAGACAACTTCTCAATCCCTCCACTAATTCTCCACACTGCTTTCAATTCTCTCTTCTTTGTTATGATGCTTGTGTGGACAGCAAATTGTTTGTTTCATTTTCTTTCACTTTTGCTACCTTGTTGTTTTTACAAAAGTTTATTCCGAATAAAATATAAATTTATTAGAAATTTGTAATATATTTTTTTTCCCCCTAACTCCAGACGGTCATATAAAACACATAAATTTACTTGAGATTTATATGAAATAGCTAAATTTATTACAAACTTACACAAGACAGACAAATTGATTAGAAATCTATTCGAAACGGACACATTTAGTAATGGATTCTCAATCAGACTTTGGAGAAAATCGATACAACCAAACAGATTTCTGCAAATTCTTTATTTGAGATGGAAGATTTCATTTATTCCATGTCTTTTATAATGAACTTAAAGTAGTTATAAATTAATTGTTTAATCATATTCGAAAGATGTAAATTTTTACATAAGTAAATGATGAATTCAGCAATTATACGAAGTATAAATATGTTTTAAAAAATATATATATATATATATATATTATAGATGAGACAGAGCAATTAATTCTGAATTTATCACCTCTCTAAGTATTGAAATAGTGTTTGTGTAAGAGTTCTGGGTGGAGCCGTATATATTTACATAATTTGGAACTCATTTAAGCAATTAAGCGAAGGATAAGAAGCTTATAATTGGAAAGACAGCATTAGTGTTACGTAAGTTATTCTTAATTTTACTATAGAGCCGTGTAATGTGATTATCAAAACATAAGCTAACCCCATTTATTTAATAAAGCATTCACGTAAACAATTAAATAATGATTAGTAGAAAAAAAAAGGATTAGGGAATTAAAGATTCTTTCTTTAGAATTAGTCCGTCATTCATTCTATTCATTCCATTGTTAACATATTTATTTAAAAGATAATATTTTTATTTTATCGTGAATTAAAGAAAGTATCACAACCAAGAACTTCGTTAAATTTAAATGGTATTCTTATGCAGAAGTTTTTCAAACAGATTCCATCAGTAAACATTAAAAGGATTTTAAATTTTCCTAGACTGTATTCACTATTTTGGTAAATGTCACATGCTTTAAATGGATCCCTTACACAAAAAGTTGAAGCGAAGAAGATCCTTTGTCCAGAAAACTCCTCTCTCTTCAAATGTGAAAGGTTGCTGCATAAAGTCAGTTGTATCCATTCTCGATGAACAAAATCTCTTCTTCTGTAAGGAATAGAAGAAAAGTATTTCGTTTGAGAATTCTTGAGACAACTATTTCGAACACTTTCTATCTACACTTCAATCGATTGTAATTCGTTTTCTTCAAAGGAAAAGGTGATGTAGTCTAGACTGTTGTTTCATTGTACATTCGAAACATGATTATTTTCATTGTTCATACAAGCTTTAATTGACTTATATATATATATATATATATTTAATTTAGGCTATTTTACAATATTGTTTTTGACGCTAATGTTATTGTCAAGACGAAATTAAACAGAAAAATTTTCTCACACTCTACATATTCTTTTTTTTTGTTAGTTATTAATTTACAAAATTCACTCATCAGTTGTTAAAGTAATGTTAAAAATGATTTTCGAATGTAAGTTCACATCGTTAAAAGAAAAAAAAAAACTATTTTCTGCGTGATTCAAACATTAAAATTTCCGGATTTTTTACTTATTTTTTGCCACACCCTGTTTAAAATATAACAATAATTATTGTTATTTCTCGTGTTAATATACTCGGAGTCACTGAATTAGAAAATTTTCACATAATAATAATCTTTCTTAAACCAGTTTCTATTAGTTAGAAAAATATTTTTTTAAAAAAAGTTTTCTTTTACAGAAAAATAAAAATAATGTTCTTTCAATTTAAATGATTTTATTTTATTATTTAAAATAAATTCTCGTGATGCAAACTGTCATTTTATAATAGATAATATTATATTTTATAATAAATTTATGAATTTAAAAGAGGTTTTTTTTTTTTTGTTTAAATTATTTTATGCATATTTTCTCTTATTTATTATAATAATAAAAATGCAAAATTGAATAAAGAATAGAATTCTAAACCAATATTTCGAATTAGAATTTCGTTATAAAAGAAAAAAATAATAATAATAATAAATTTAAATAAATGAAGACTGTTTGCCCACTCATGTATCTTCCTTGATCTGGATCTATCTTTCGACCTTTCTGCTTTGAGAGATTCTATCAGTAACAGCTCTTGAGGTCTTAGATGCACGCAAATACTCCTCACTACCCTATTATGAAATACAGCAAGTTGCAGATATTATCTGAAACTACTATTATACGATCATTTTGTAATAATTAAATGTTAAATTTTCTTATTGAAGTGTTTATTTTATTTTATTTTATTTTCAATATAAACAATTTTTTTTATTTCATTAATTTGGTTAAATATAAGTAAAATTAATTTGTTTTAATGTATTTATCTGTTTAAAAAAATAGCAGAGGAATGTAATAATAATTACGACACGTAAATTTAACAATTTTTAACATAAATTCACACTATTATTATTATAAATATATGAAATTTTATAGTAACATATTTATTTTTATTAATTAAAAATGAAATTTAACGAATATAATACCCTCAAATTTAATCACAACAGTTGTTTAATATTCTTGAAAAATTATTTATTAAATTAAAGAATTACAAAATTATATTAAGACAGAAAAGAAAAAAAATATATATTACAATATTGGCTTTGTTGATTAATTATAAAATAGAAATCACAATAATAAAACTTTTAACTAAATGCAGAAATGAATTATGCGCATTAATTTAACGACACTAATTTAATGCTTAATAGCTTTTATTAAATGAAAGTAATAAAAGTTTCACTTTGCAATTAACTTGATAATCAAAAGTAGTTTATAGATAAAAGCTATTGGATAATATTTTCTTTATTCTAAGTTGCATTGTTTAATATACTCAATGAAATTTCTCTTCAGTAAGTAGTACTATACCCCATTTTAAAAGAGATTTTTCTTAATAACATTTTATTGATTATAGACAGAAATGTCCATTCCTCTATCGATTTTTTATAGGCAATATATAATGCCTATCAAAATCTTTAGAATGGATATTTTACGCCGATAAATTTTTATTGTCACAGAAATCCCAGAGATTAATCGAATTGTCTTTTTTATTCGAAATGTATTTAAAAAAAAAAACATTCATCTGGTATATTCAAAAATTAAATTATAGATAATGTAACTATTCCATTAGACTCGCATTATATATAATTTAATTATAGATAACTGTTGTATGTAACCACTACTGTTCTGTTTCATCGGTTTGATCGTTTTGCGGTTATTATTGAAATTTTTATGCAAGAAAATAGCGTAATTTCTCATAAAGAAAGCCATTTAAAAATCTTTTATTATCAATAATTAAGCGAATAAGAGAAGAATATACCGGTTAATGATACTAAACGACACAAAGATAATGAAAATTCAATCAGTAAATATAAAACATTCTTCATATACGAAAAAATATAGGCTATATATATATTGTATATAAATTATACGGCATCTTATAGCTTTCTTCGCTATATATATATATATATATAAACAGATAAAATTTAAAATAACTCTCGAAAATTTGGCAATATACTTTATCAGATACTTTCAATACCGTATAGTGAACGTTAAGTTAGAACGAGTCATTTTTAACTTCCATCATATTGCAATCTCGACTGAGATAAAACTAAGCCAAACTTACTACTTCAATGTTGTAAGTCCCTTTATTAAATTTATAGCCATTCTGGATTAAAGGGTAACGAATTGCGTCATCAACTCTCTAATGGTCCTTCTATCCCGCAGTAAGTTGGAGGCACAGTAATTGGCTTTGGTAGGTTCTAACGTCGAGATAAATGTCTATCTTTCCAAGATTGAAGGTTCCGATATCGTGTTTGAAAATATTTCTGTAGATACTTACACGCTCGATTGAAAACAGCTAACGAAATTAGTTTGATGATGTTTTTTTTTTAACCTAAACTTTAGTTTTGGCTTGTTATTACTTATCTAAAAATCTAATTTCAGTGTCTTCTTTGGTTA